CGCAAACTCATTATCTTCCTTCCCCAGACACTCTCCATCAGACGCCGCGAAGCATCTGGCTCCAGACTATTGCGGTGAATGCGGTGGAGCAACACCTCCTCCAACTGTTATCAAACCGGGATGCTGTACTACTTGTGAGGAAGTGCGTGAAGCCTACGCCGAGAAGCAATGGGCCTTTGGCGATGGCAGCAACATCGAGCAATGCAAGCGCGAAGGATATGCCGAGAAACTCGCCGAGCAGCGCCGTGAGGGATGTCGGATTGAGGGTGTGCTGAAGGTCAACAAGGTTGTGGGCAACTTCCACATTGCACCAGGCCGCAGCTTCACCACTGGCAACATGCATGTCCACGATCTGGACGCCTACATCGCGCCTAACGCGGGCCCGGTGGACCAGCACACAATGTCCCACTTCGTCCACGAGCTTCGCTTCGGGCCCAAGCTCCCCGCCGAGCTCGCAGGCCGCTGGGGGTGGACTGACCACCACAACACCAACCCACTCGACGATACCAAGCAGGAGACCGACGAACCCGCCTACAACTTCATGTACTTTGTCAAGGTTGTCTCGACGTCCTACTTACCTCTAGGCTGGGATCCTCAGTTCTCGACTGCCATACATAACGCCTACGACAGTGCGCCTCTTGGCTCCCACGGCCTCGCATACGGTACTCAGGGTAGTATCGAGGCTCACCAGTACTCGGTAACCTCGCACAAGCGTCCTCTTTCCGGTGGCAATGATGCTGCGGAGGGCCACAAGGAGCGCGTGCATGCCGGTGGCGGTATTCCAGGCGTCTTCTTCAACTACGATATCTCTCCTATGAAGGTTGTCAACCGTGAGGCTCGCCCGAAGACTTTCACTAACTTCCTTACTGGTGTCTGTGCTATCATTGGTGGTACTCTAACTGTCGCTGCTGCTTTGGACCGCGGTCTGTATGAAGGTGCTATGCGCGTCAAGAAGCTGCATTCGAGCTAGATGTCAATATCTAGTCAGAGATAATATAGAATTTACGAAACATCTCTTTTCATGGGATTATATATCCTAGCATGAGCTAGATACTTTTCCTAGTGGAAAGGGAGTTGAAGCATCGTGGAAGCGAGGGAAGCTGGCACTTGTGGCGTTCTTGAGATACCTTTATAACTGTTTTGCCATTGCACTATTTTGGGCTAAGAGTAACTACTCATCTACCAATAACGAATGTAATTGAGAAGTACATTTTTTGCAATTCGCAACTACATACAACATAGAGGCAGCATGCATTGTTTGTATACTAGCACGTGACGTGGCCCACTTTCCTCTTTCGGAAGTATATAAATTCCCCATGTTCCTGGCATGGGAACGCTCTCTCTTTCATGACGCCATTGCGGATTTGCTGTTCCATTCTAGATTTCTAGAAGAAGCAGAACTGACTTGTTGATAGTACATCTCAAAGCTACAATGTAAGAGTAGGACTCACGAAATAATACATCTATCCAATATGTGCATCTAACAACTATACAACTATACAAAGGGTGAGTATCATACAGCAACCACAAGCAAATTATGCCCCAACCGAAGCCCTAGCTCGACTAGCCCTCCTACTCTCAGTATTCCTCTCCCGATCAGCAGCAAGCTGCTGCGCGAATTTACTCTTAGCCCTAATATCCGGACCCTTCCAGTAGAACACATAAATCGGAATTAAGACCAAGAACCCCACACAGCCCAGCAGCGTACTCGCCCACTGGAGATGATACCTTTTCCCAATATTTTGGTACATGGGCGTGGAGTACATGGTCGCGATACCAGCTAGGAAGTCTCGCGCAAAGCCATTACCTCCGGTTGCAGACGCAGAGTACGGCCCATACGCCGCAACCATGTAGTCTATCGTCGCCATGTAGATTGCATAGTTTGCCATTGCGATCAGACAGGCGAAGATGCACGGCGCGATCCATGGGATTCGTGGGCCGGTTGATGTCCAGGCGAAGCCGAGGAGGCCGATTGGTTCGAGGGGTGCAATGAAGAGGAGAAGGAGGAGACGGCGCTCGGCGAGGCGGCTTGCTGTGCCGTATTGGCGTCGTGTTTGGATTTGCCGGTGAATGTCGGGCAGATAAATTACGTATGCTATTATGTAGCCGATTAGGATTGAGGCAAAGGTTATACCGATGGCTAGAACGCTGAATGACCATTGTGCGAAGACTAATGCGAAGGACTCGGTGAAGACGAAGATTAAGGCGTCGGAGAAACCCGACAGCAGGGAGAGGAAAAGGACGATTGGCTCGCGGACGAACATCTCGAATGGCCGGATCCAGATCCGTAGTACGTCGTGATAGTCTAGGCGTGGGGTTTTCAGTTCGTTCGGGCCCCAGATATCCTCTCCGTTCTTACGACGCCGTTTCGCTTCACGGTCGATTAGGATTGTCGTGCGTGTTTCCGGCACGATGAAGAAGTGGAGGATCTGGGTCACACCTCCGACGATCAATTGGATCCAGAATACCCAGTGCCATGTGAGCCATTGGCCGATCATACCGCCGAAGAAGGGTCCGACGGTTGACCCGCCTACGGATGAGAGAACAACAAAGGCTACCGCGTAGCCTTGATCGTCGGCTTCCCACATATCCGCCGTCATGCCGAGGGTGACTGAGCCTCCGGCAGAACTAAGACCGCCGAGGACACGGCATACGACAATTGTGCCATAGTTTGGTGCGAGGGCGCATGGAATTTGCCAAATGTTCACAAAAAGGAGTGAGAGCTGCATGATGGGCCAGCGGCCGAATTCCTCGCTCCATGGTGCCCACAGCTCACATCCGGATGCATATGCAACCAGAAACACACACTGCCCGACTCGCGCGGCTTGTTCGCTGATATGGAATTCTTCGGTCAGGCCGGGGACGGCGTTAGAGTAGACGCCTGTGTTGAAGTTCATGGACATTTGAACCGCGAAGATAACGGAGAGAATCATCCATTTCTTCCATGTTGGGAAGCAGAAGCCGAGCTTTTCGTAGCAGTCATCTTCTGTTAGCTCGGGCTTGCCGCCGGTACGCAGCTTAGGTTTGTCTTCTTGGCTTGCTGTATCGGAGTCGGAGGCATATTCAGCGTGGGTATCGGCACCCCGTCCTGCTTCGGTCTTAATTGCTTGTGGGCTGGCTTCATCCTTGAAGCTCGACGCTTCGGGATTTTCGGGGACTGAAGGGTCCATTCGGGCAGTTGATTAAGTCTATTGTATAGATATTGGGTCCACAACGGTACATAGAGAATGAATAAACAAATGGCTTATTCTATGCATGCAAATTGCACAGCAGATGATATCAGGGTGGCTATTAACATGTAAAGAAGTGGCGGACACTGCCCTCATATACCTTGGATGGCGACCTGGACGTTCGACACTATCACTAGGATTTGTGTACTTCTATATACAAGCAAGGTCAGGTATCCAATTAAATCCAACCATCTCTAGATTAAATCCACTATAAACCGGGGAAAACCTGTTCCCCAGTATTCCAATGTTCTCCATTACGTCATTAGAGCCCTGGGGGTTACGTCAAATGTCAGTCTCTAACTATGTTCAGTCATATGTTTCTTCATGTTCAATTCATAGATAAGACGGAGGGTTAGGTGGAGAAGTGCTGTCATAAGGTTTTCTCCGGGTTAAATAGTCCCATTGGATTCACCGAAATTATCCCTATTGCAGTGGGGGTTTCCAGAGCAGGATGACTAAGCGGCCATGTGATATAAAAGCACTCCCGAGGCATAGATAGCAACGCAGACACCTTTCCACTTCCATTCTCAGTAGTCACCCCATGGTGTTCTCCTCTCTAGCACCCTACTACTCCCAGTGACGATTCTGCTCTCACACCTGTTTCGCAGGCAGGGCTGTCGGTGCCCCTATATAAACTGTGAATGTATAAATCATTTATCCCTGGCAAGAACGGTTGATAGCACGACAAGAAGTGTATTATAGAAAAATATATTCTCTACACCCATTGTACCCGATTATCATTCAAGGGACTATAGATATTCAAGGTTACGTCACACCAGACTATGTTGTAGCGCAGACCAGCATAGCGTAAACCAATTAAGGACGCTCAGTGATGTTTCTATATCAAAATAATTGTCATCATACAATGTACTCCGTAGATACAGTCTACTTGATCCTGATTGGCAACAGGGTTCCCCTGATCAGTCCGGTTTCGCGCTCGCCTTCCGGGCCTACCACCTATCATTGTATGAACTGAACTGTGTGTGTGGAGCGTGGAATTGATATGGCGAACTAATAGGATGTAGAAGGATGTCGTAGCTTACAAGCCTTACTAAAATTCTGTATATGTAGCATGTTCTGCATTGGTAGCGAGGTTTGAAGAGAAACATGATTGGAGTACTAGATATTCCGGTTGTAAAGTGCCATCCTGCTTGATTGAGTTCGGAAAATATGCTTTACAGCGTAAGGTCTTTTCTTTCCCATCTTCTATCATTTGAATGCAACTAACGTTTACGATATATGTACATACCTCTTACTACTACAAAATGCTTACTTCAGAGAACAATAGAAAGAATGCAGATATGGAAAGGACAAATAGTATTGGGTATGGTATCCATGATCAATCTATACGGCGTACATACAGGCCACATATTTCCACGAGTCTGATCTACATGCTGGAACAAAACATGTGAATAAAAAGTAAAAGCAAGGACCCCGATAATGATAAGTAAGCAAGCGATTCGCATGAAAAATCAGGGACGATCCCACCACGCCCATCTGGAACTCCGATTGGATGCGTGATGCAAAGAAGCAATGAGAGATAAAGAAAAGATAATGAGTGATGTTAGAGGGTGAAAAGAGAAGGACTGCGTGAAAGATGAACGCGTTGGAAGCCAGGTGCAAAGGTTGATATGTATGCAGGAATGGCGATTTGAACAGAATAGAAATTGATGCTGCTAATAAGATGCAGGGAATAAGTTGTTGAAAAAATCGAAAGGAAAGTCGAGGTAGTGACAAAATGATGGGTCAGACCCGAGGGAAGGAACCGGTCTACTGAGCATGGCTGTAGTACCTCGGTTCTTGACCATACTGGTCTTGTTGATAGCTAGGCGGTGTTTGAGGAGCCAGCTGTCCGTACCAGGACGATCGACGGGGTTCGTCGGGGCGGATCGTCTGGTTTAGAGCATCCCATGTGTGGCTGGCAACCGGAATGTTGTACATGGACTCGTGGCGACCATGTTGAGATGGATACACAGAGCCAGCCTGTTGGGTCTGCATCTGTTGAGGTGAGAACGGCGGCGAGAACGGCGGCGCGAACTGCTGAGGCGCGTACTGCTGCTGCTGCATCATGTGTTGCTGACGGTGGGCAATGGCCTGTTGAACCGCCTGGTTCGACATTCCCTCCCTTATTTCACGCTTCTCGCGCTCCCGAGCATCGATGTGCGAGACAAGGCCCATGGGGCTTACTGGCGCCTGTGGTTTTCGGTTGTCATTTGACATATTGAAGAATGAAGAGCCAGTCATGCGGGCAACGTGCTCCTGTTCACGAGCGGAAAGATTGATTGAAGCATCGTTGTAATTGAGGATACCCTGGGCACCACGAGACGAAGGTCGATAGTTTGGATCCCGCTGAGGGCTCATGGGCGAATTGGAACGGACATTATGTGTCCAGTCGCCAGATACCGGGCGTTGTACTGACATGGGATTAGAAGGGGTGCGATTGTGGACCTGCACCGGAGGACTGGGTGCCGCCCGTTGCTGCACGTACTGCTCCGGGGTTAGACCTCCACCTGGAGTGACAGGGCGAGAAGCCATTCCAGGCTGCCACAGCATGCTGCGTCGATATTCTTCGCGACTGGAAGGCCGCGCATTAGCCTGATCGATTGCTTGAGTCGGAACCGCAATTTTGGTCCCCGACGAATCATTACGTTGATGCATTGTTCTTTTCAGGGTATCTGATGTGGTTGGGCGCCCAGTAGTAGGCATATATGTCATAGTTGGGCCGAAGTCAACACTGGGAATATCCGGATTCGAGGTCGGGGGCTTATCCATAGTATAATGAGCATCGCCAATGACATAATCTTTGACTGCTGGGACTCCCACAGTTTTCATGACACCCATTCTAGGTTTGGTGGATGCGACGGATTTCTTGCTGTAGACAGAACCGTGTGTGCTAGCATAGTCAGGCGAGACTGTCGATGCATCATCGTAAATGCTGTCGTCCTCGTTTCCGTTTCTATTTCCAACAGATGACGCTGGGGATGGAAGATGAGGCGCAATTTTATTCAGCGCATCTTCATCAAGGGTATGGCGAAGATCATCATAACTCGGTTCGTCTGGTGACTCTGGCTCTGGCCCGAAAATCTGTTGCTGAGGGAGTGGCTTGCGTCGCACAGATTTGTTGGCATCAATGTGCATCCGTTGAGGAGAGTACTGCTGGGGAGAAGGCCGATGTGGGCTGCCAGTACTAGGTGTGATCGGGCGATGCTCAGGAACTGAGGGAGGTCGAACCGGAAGTGCAAGACTGATATCCTCATCACTCGATGAAGTTGCAACAGAGTTTGCGGACACAATTGGTCCAGGCTTATAGACACCGTTGGAGGCCCTATCCTGGGGCTGGTGGGTTTTCCATGCAGCAGTGGCGGCTGCCGCGCTCATTCCCATAGTTCCGACCGATGTGAGTTGGGAAAGTGTTGCGTGAGACATCCGGTTGTTTGCCAACCTCTGCTCCGAAGAAGCCTCTGGCCGGTTAGTGGGCATCTCTCTGGGTCCATGGGAAAATGGGGGTGGGTTTTCAACAGGAGCCGGTGGGGTTCGTGGGGGGAGCTGTTCTTCGACTGGCGGGCCTCGGAGGTGGTCGATATTTGGTTCGCTTCCGGAACTGGTGCTCTCAGCGATAGGATCGAACGCTGGAACACCACGGTGCATCAGATCTTGAGCAGAAGAGTGAGGTGAGCTCTCGATTAAAGATTCATGGCCTAGCCGAGAGCCAGTATTGAAGCCTGTGTTATCAGAAACCGGGCGGCCATACACAGTGGGTAAGTCCTCGTTTTGAGGGACTTCATGAATGATAGCCTCGGTGGAGTGGTTGAACCCAGGCTTGTGGTCGAGACCAGCATACTGGCGGCGAGTGGAGTCCACAGGGACATCACTGTGTCGGCCAGGCATCGAGCGATAGCGAGGTCTCACGCTGTTGACACTATTGGTTCTGCTCCTGCCAGACGAAATTCGACGCTGTGTTGCCTCTTTGAGCTGTTTTCTCCACTGAGCTTCGCTCCATTCTTGGCTTCCCGGGGTTTGAAGAAGGTTGGCAATGTCCAGCACATCAAGATAGCCGTATCGTCGCTCCTTAGGGAAGGCAAACATGATGCTCTTGATGTGATTAGTGTCTGCCACCAGGCGAGTAGGACGGCCATAGAGATTGAAAGTGTCGAACGTCGGGAAAAGGAAGCGCAGCATCATCTCAAATCCAGAAACCGCAGGATGTGGCTCAGGCATGATAAAAACAAGTCCCTCCGAAGAAGAATCAGGCGAATGTGTGGTAATCCGTCCTTCCAACTTCACCAGGGTCGATGCATCAATTATAGCCGTAGATTGTGGATAAACCGCATATGCCGAGTAAACCTGAGTAACCGTTGCAATGGGAGTCACCTTTTTAGTTTTCTTCGTCTCGTAGAACTTGATGTTGCCGGTAACTGGCATTGACAAGCGGTCATATGCCGATTTTTTCATGATTTTCCGTGCTTTGTGGAGCTCTTTTTCATCTGGCGGGCAGATCACAAACCAGCACCTCCTCCACGGGGTTCCTGCTCCAAATCGTACACGCGCCCAATCCTCGTACTTGAATTTGGTGGGTGCCAAGATGGAGTTGATTCCGTTGAGTGTTCTACCTTTCGCTGCAATCAAAGAACCGGTGTAAGCTTCGTACAAGGATGTGTGCTCGAACATGGAGAGACGAATCGCCGCAGTCCATTGGGTCAATGAGTTGAAAGAATTGAAATGCAAGAGGTATCGATTTTGGCCAGCGGAAGAAAGGCTGAGTACGTTCTTCAATGGTTCTATAGCTCCATTTTGAATCGGAAGAGTCTCAATCTGCGAGTAACTGATTAGTTCATGTCTGATGACTCTGGCAAGTAAGGCTTACCATCTTGAGAGACGCATCGGCCAAATTGATAAAGGTAGCCGGAACTTCTTCTCCACCTGCTGCGTCCAGCGCAGCGCCATCCCATAGTGAAAGAACAGTTCCGACCAGCTGTGCGTAGCATTCCACCCATTGTCGATCACCAGAAGGCCGTCCATCTGCCACGTGTTAGCCCTTGCCCCGCAATGCACCGAGGCCAGTGATCGCTTACGAGAATCCAGATCATTCAATTTTAAAAAGTATCCTTCATGATATAGCTTATTCGTGTGGATATTGAGGAACGAAAAGATTGGCGACAGCTCCGGTGGGGTATCGCCCGTCTGATGCATGAGAGGCGGGTTCCGTGAGAAGATCATGGATGCCGGTCGCGACGCATTTCCGCCTCTTGGTCCTGAGCTCACAGGGGATGCTTCGGGAGGAGGGGATGGTGTATCGGGAGGGGTCTGCCACTGGGGTGGTGTATCGGACGGAGTTACGTTGGCCACGTTGGCCACCGGCGTAACGTTGCTCGACAATTTTTTGCTCTCTTTCCCAGAAGCATTATTCTTTGAACCCCCAAAACTGAATAGAAACGAGCGGACTAGTTCCACGCAAGGGAGAGTCAATAACGGGCTCTAGTGCCATTCCCGGCATACCCGGAGAGGATCGACTTACCACGCGAACGACCCATGACGTCGGAACGTGAAGTGCGGACAAGAAACTCAGTAGTCTTTTGAGTATTACCCCTCACCGAGTTAGACTGTGAAACGCCTTGCAGGTAAGGAGAGAGACTGGGGCGTGGTGGGATTTAAAAGGAAACTGTCCGAGGCAGGTCGATTGCGCTGAACGAGAGACTGTGAAATAGCGACTGCGCCTAGACCGAATTCGGCGACGAAGAGATCAATCCATAGAATCCACACAAGGGTGAACCTGGAAGAATAAGAATGAAAAAAAAACGAGTGGTTGGGTTGGAGTTTAGGGAAATCGAGCTTCTTTGCCAAGGAAGATGACGTTACAAGCCGAATACGTCTTTGCTAATCACCGGGATTAACGGGTCCTTTTTTTTAAAATTTCCAACAAAAGAGAGAGGTGGAGGAATGGAATATGGAATAATAGGGAGGTTTGAAGAGAAGAGATAGAGAGAGAAGACCAAGAACTACTGTGGATCAGTTGGGGCAAGTCCCGGAGGCGAAGAGAAGACCTTCCAACATTTCCACGCTACACCAATGATATACTTATTGTCTCGTGCGACACTTGAAAAACTGAAGCCAAGCCAATATCTGCTTTGTTTTGTTTTTCTTTCTCTTTGCATTGAGACCTTGAACAAAGGTTTTTCATTGGCGTTATCCCCTTGGATCATCGGTGGAGAGACAAGCCGACTATAAGTAGACTAGTTTGCATGGATAAATATAGGATGTCTTATGTTAGAACTACGGAGCACAGAGTACAGAGGACTAGTTTAAGGCAACTATGTTATTATTCTCCTGAGTTATACAACATATGTCTAAATAGCATCTCCTTTTCCAATTCCCCCCTTAATTCTACAAGACTTCCCATCGTGGCCAAGGCTGGCATCCGCGCTACTGGCTCTCAACGGAAGTGAACTTGGCTTGGCAAATTCTGCCCATTGACCCTCACACGTTGCCTTCCTTGCCTTTCCTATGGGTCCGCATGAACACGCTATGCCTTTTCACCGACCATTTAATTCCATGCTCAACTACAGTACATAATTAGCTAACAATCATTTCTATTTACTCCGAGACCTCCTGCATTAGATCCACAATCTTTGCTCGGATAAACTTGGAACTTAATTAACTAGTTTGTACGGAGTACATGTGGTGTATATAATACGTACTCGGTACAATGTCTTATACTAGTCGCAGTCTTGGCATAGATCAAATCCAAGATTTTCTGACCTGCAGCATAGGATCAGCATGGCCCCCATGGAGATCCGACCAACGCGTCATAGGTACTTTAAAAAATGCAGATCCGCCATGTGGCAGGGATCTAGAGGTACGATTCTTTTTCATCTGGACCCCGCTCTATACAACAACCTTGAACGTGTCTGTGGGGTTCCACGGTTAATAATGCCCGTTGGGGAAATAAGGTTATTTCAAGGTTATTGACACTTTTCCTTTTTCGTATTGATAATCGGAGGCTCTCTATAAAAATCCGAGCATTAATTTGTCGGTCGAGGACTAAACCCATATAAAAATCCTAAACTCACTCGGAAATTCATTGCTCTGGCGGGCGCCATCATACCTTCCGAGAATCTCACGACATTTGTTGGCAAAGGCACGTACTTGATCGGCATGATGGGAGGTATAATCAAATCGACTGGGACGCGCATCAGGACCGGAGTGAATGCCAAATCCATTCTTCTCAATGGCCTAGTTGACCCTGATAGCGTCGTCTCTCATATCTACATGGATTTCCTACCACGGGCACTTGAACAAGGCCAATTTGTGCCAGCTCCTCCCCCGCATGTTGTGGGCAAAGGGCTAGATAAGATCCAAGAGGCTCTCCATCTTCAGAGAAAGGGTGTTTCGAAAAAGAAACTTGTCGTAATGCTTTAGCTTAGTGACAAAGGATACCCAGTTTGCAGGATAAAGTTGAGTTAAAGCAGTACAGGATCAATTATATATTTATGCAATATTACATACAATAGTAACTTTTCATGCTATAAAACCAAACCTTCTCACTTAGGTATGTCTTGTTGGTCAAATAAACATGCAAGTGCACAAGAACGAAAGAGACGCCACCGAGGAAGATAGCCTGATGGTCTCCATACCTAGGTGTGAATGCGGATCCCGTTATTATCTTTTCGCATCCAACAACTTATCGACAGTGAAGCATGTGACTGAAAAGTAGTATTAAATGTTATCTAAACTGTCCGGACAAGAATTCAGCCTGAAAAAAGAAATTCTCTCTAAAAAACAATGGAACAACCAGTTGACCACCTCGTCGGTAGACATGCCGAAAGGATATTGAAGAAGCATGAATATACCTCTTTTGCTGACCAATGACCCTAATTTCCTCCAATCACTGCCAAATCTTTACCACCTCCACTAGGAGACTTTTCAGTAATGAGCTGAAGCTTCACCTTCCTGATATCCTTCCATCCAAGTCCCGGAGAAAAAACTAACACGGCGACGCTGACAGCAATACCGAGATACATGACTTTGTCGATGCTTTTGGCGTAGGCTGCGAGCACAGCGGCCAGCTCGGAGCCAGACACCAGGCCACGGATGGAGCGGACTCCAGTATTGATAATGGCGTCTGGAGAAGCGCTAATCTGTGCAGCGCGTTTTTGAAACTCTGAACGAAGGCTATTGCTAAGGATAGCGTTCGCAGTGATCAGAGAGATGGCTGCACCTATATTCTGCGAGAAGATGATAATGGCCATAGCAAGGGGAATCTGCTCTGGAGCCACGAGGCTTTGTATAGCGATATAGGGCTAAATTGAAGGTACGGATTAGCATAGGGTTATAATTCGTCAACCTCAGAAGAATCGGACTTACGGCCGCAGTCGTGCAACCGCTTCCAACACCGTAAAGAATTTGGTACCCAACCCATTTTGCAACTGAAGTGGTAGCACCTAATGTCGACAAGAGTCCATAGCCAATAGATGATATCACACCCCCTGCAAGAAGAAATGGGAGATAGTAGCCCAAAACGGAAACTTTCTAGTATTAGCGATGATTAGTAGACAAAATTACAACTAGAATCACTTACTCAGGGTGCCTGAGACCATAGTGAATAGAACGATACCGAGGGTGATTGGGAGCATGTGAACACCGCTCATTAGGGGCGTGTCATCGTGAATTGCCTGGAAATAGATTGCAATGTAGAAATTAGCAACAAGAACACTAGACAAGCTAAAGAACATTGTCAGTGCAGCCGACCAAATAACTCGGTGTTTAAGCATAGCAAGTGGCACCATAGCATTGTCCCCTTGGTTCCACTCCCAGATAAGGAAGACAATAAAGGTAGCGCCAGCACCGATCAACAAGCCTATCACAACCGAGCTATCCCAGGCATAATCGTTACTGCCAAACTGAAGCCCTAAGAGGAACATAACGACGGCCGGGCAAATAAGCATGGATCCTGGGAGATCTAGAGATTTGATGGCAGAGCTAAGAATCTGCAGTGGTGGATCCTTAGGCTTCGGCTCGGGCACTGTGTTAAAGAGAAGAAACCCGCCGACAATAACACCCAAAGGGAGGTTAATGTAAAAGCCTAGTATAAGAAATTTCAGCCTTCTAGAAATCTCCCCAAGAAGTGGAATGACATACACCACCGCCAGGATATATGCGTGGTAAAAGCGCCTCCAATAATAGGCCCCGTTGCAAGGCCCACCTGGCCCATACCCATGTTGAGTCCCATAAAAAGCGCCTGTTTTTGTGTTGGGAGGACGGCGGAGATGGTTGTTACTGCACCGTTGGCCACACCAGCAGACCCCACACCCGCGATAACACGGCCGATGATGAACATGGCCGAAGAATGCGCCGCTCCGCATACAGCAGATCCGACTTCGAAGATGACGAAGAAGACAAGAAAGGTCCACTATATGATGATCTTGTCAGAGTTTACTTTCGTGGTCACGATGCTTGAACCAAGGCATACCTTGATGGAAAATCGGCTGTAAATCTTGCCGCTCAAGGGCTGAAAATGCTGCACTCCCAAGCTGGTAGGCGCCGCCATACCTAGATAGATATCTATCAGCATCTCGGAAAAAAGCGACAAAAGACCAGCAGTTGTGGCCTAGACAAGTAAATGGATATTTATTTACCAACCGACGTCCATCAGTGAGTCAAACTGAGAAGTAATGGCTGGAGTGGCCGTGGAAATGACAGCAAGATCAAGGAAGAAGAGGAAATAGGCCAGAGTAACTGATGTCAGGATAAGAGTGACCGCCAGACCCGAAGGATATTGGCGCTTGAGCTCTGTATCATTGATGGAAGCACTCATCTCGGCGCCATCTTGCTTTTCCAAATTGGAAGATTTCGTCTCGGCCATTGCAAGAGAGGATGTCCGGTCAAGTGCTGCGAGTGAAGGATTTGTTGGTATTGATACTGTGATGACTACCGAATCGTGATAGATATATAGTATAGTTTATATTTCTTTTATTCGACTGTTGATTATAAATACACAGCACTCATAACTATCCCAGATTCAGCCCCTTGAGTGTAGAAGCGGACTTTGCCTCCGAAATCCATAATCGATTAGGGCCTTCTTTTACTGCATCCACGGCGGATTTGGACCGGAGTGTAGGAGTCTGCTTTCAAAATCCGAAGCTTATCTCCTTCCGAGCCGGACATTCAGAGTACATACATGATACTACATCCATATGTACCTACAACATAGGTATGTTGTACAAATTAATAGAGAGCTATACCCGAAGTGGATTAGAAGTGGGTCCGAGTTCCACGGCGGGAGCTAATGAAACGAACCTTGGAAGGTTGTTTGATGCGATATCCCAGGTTGTTTCGCTTTCACTCGTTCAATGAAGTACTATAATGACATAAACTATAATCAGGAATTTTAGTGCGCTGACCGAGCTAGAATATTACGATAAAATCAAGAGACACAAGACTGGCAAACAGACACTCTCCCTGGATCCCGCAAAGGAACACTGTACTGGGATCGATGGCCCCCATAGAAGAGCAATATAACAAAGAAGCCCTGGCCGCAAAGCAATCCATCCATCATTGCAGTATTTGGTAGTTCAAGATATCCCACGCAGCCAAGCTAAATCCACCATCTTACGCGATATCTTCAACCATTGGCAACGAAATTGTTCTGGGAGGGAAAGGTCCACGTAGGAATAAGCCAGTCATAACAAGACGAGGGTACCCCTGATCTCTAGGCCTGATGCTACGGTGTCTAAAAGGCTACATAGATGATCAGTGTTAAAATTGGAATTCATTTTGAAGCCGCTCCTTGAATTGAATATGTCAAGTCAAAATATTGAATCAACACGCTGTCGCGAAATAGGAACTTTGAAGAAAAGTCCATGGATATGCATCAAAACGCTAGATAATCATAACATCGTACAAATGCCCTTCATCATTGTTCCATCGTATGGTAAGCACAAACAGTGTCAACCAGTGCCATTTGATTACGACTGGGCATTGAAGAATGAATGTGCTGTCCTTGCTGGAGAATCATCTGCCATCAAATAATCAGAATCCAACCCCGGCTGGCTAGGGAGATAGGAGGAATCGTTCGACTGTGAGCCGAAAGCAACATCCGAAGAGTGATCTCCTGCCGCATATGATTGTTGGCAGTAGGACCGACCATCCTGATCATATCCAAGACCATACATACCCAGCGAGTTGACTCCAGAGCTGGTTTCATCTGTAAGCAATGCGCGCTGCATGAAGAGGTTCTGGACCTCATCTTCGGTGCAGCTGTGTTTGGTGGTCATGTGGACCCACAAATCGTAGTTGCGATGGAAACGATGTGGGCACGAGCCGGGGTAAAAGCAAGCGATCTGTCGACCTGTTTCCTCGGCGTAGCCTTGGCCCGTGAGGGCAGAAAGAGTGGAAACTGAATCCTGCCCCGGCTTTTTGCTCGTCTTTTTCGCTTGGCGCCGTTTCCTGGCATTCGGGAGACCCAAGTGTGAAGTGCGGATGTGGTCTTCGAGTGTCAGCTTGTTGCCATAGCGCTTGCCGCAACCGACGCCGTCCCATCCCTCCAGCTTGTTGGAGTTTGAAAGATCCGTTTCGCCGCAGACAAACCGCTTTTCGCCTTGGTGTACTGTGCGAATATGGACGGTCAAGTTGCCTTGCTTGGTGAAGCTACGCCCGCATCCAGGGACGGTGCAGTGGAAGATCTTTCGTTCTTCAAGAGTGACATTGCCATGGGCTATCTCAAGGTGGCGCCGAAGCCCCCGTGCTGTGGAACAGACCAATGGACACTCAGGGCATGAGGGAGGGTGAACAATCTGAATGTGGTTTTGTAGACTGGCATACGTGGGGAATGATACATCCTGTTTTGTATCGTCGTCGGCCATATCTAATGATTGAGCTTCCATCTTTTCGGCACATTCTGCGCAAGTGAATCGTTTCTCGGAATGGACTCTCCTCTGGTGGGTCCGTAGATTACCAGCCTTGTCAAAAGCCATGTTGCATTTTTCCTTGGTGGTTGGGTCCACGTGATCACATGGAAATGGCTTCTGGTTCAAGTGGGCAACCATGACATGTTTCTGTAGCGTCGAGTGCTTCCGGAATGTCTCGTTGCAAGGTGGATACTCCGTACAGCGGTACTTGTCATGTCCATCGTGTGTAGCAACGTGCCGGCGAAGCCGTGATCCGTTCACAAAGCTCTTCCCACAACCCCGATAGTCGCAAACGTAGTCTCGAATATCTGTATGAGCACTTTTGACATGCTGTTGAAGATGGGAAGGGCGTAAGAATGTCTTGTCGCAGTCCTCAACCTCACACTTGAAGATTCTTTCGTTATTGTGTGACCGGATATGCTCCTGGAGTCGAGCTGGACGATTGAAAGCCTTATCGCAGCCCTCAAACGGACAAGATAGGGTCTTGAGCTCGGATGGGTATACCTGTCGGGAGGAGGTGGCTGAGAATGGGGTCGCCGGAGATTCGTCCATGTCTTCGCTCATTAAGCTTGGAGTACTAGGAGCCGAATACTCTGCATCGGAGTGAGTCTCCTCATAGATCAGGTCTGTAGAATGGTCAGAAATTGGATCACTTTATTGGACGTTACCTGTGGACGTAAACTTACCGGAATTGTCAAGGACATTATCCTTCTGATGTCGTTTGAGGGTTGTGATTCCCTCCGACGAGGCCTTGCGTTTCATGGCCATCATGAGACGCCCTGAAAAGGACGATTGAGAAAGGAAAAGTATTTCAAGGCACGAGGAAGTTCGGACGTCAATGCCAAACTAATATTTTTTATTTTTGCCAGAAAGGCGGTGACGGTCAACACAGAGGAAGTTTTTCCGCTCCCAAGATTTTTAGCATCAAATCCCACCTCGACCCCCGAGTTGTCTCTCATACCTCTGGGTCTTTCATCGCTCGCTTCGGCCTACAAACAGTTCGCTCCTTTGCAGATTTAACTGTCATTATGTCTGACTACGGCCACGACGACGACGTCGAAGAGACGTAAGCTACCCTTCACCAGATTGCCCAGGGACTAGGCGCAAAGGAGCTTTGCTTCCATTGTGCCTCCTGGCAGCTTCACAGCGTGTTCGCGTATACTTGTATAGACCCATTTTCTAACAATGTGGTGTGCGCAGCTTCGACTACGAGCCCGGCGAGGATGTGTTTGACGAGGAGCCGGAGGAACAAGAGGGCCTCGAGGGCGAAGACACGGTTGGGGGAGATGATTACCCGGCCACCAACGGCGATAATGTCGTTGTCTCTGGCGACCCAAATGCTGGATACGCAGGAAAAGTGCTGGAGCAGTCGCGCGAGAAGAAAGTACCCAATGACCAGCGCACCACCACCCCGTACTTGACCAAGTACGAGCGCGCGCGCGTTCTTGGTACCCGTGCCTTGCAAATCAGGTACGTTGCTTTTGCTGCAAACGATTGCGCATTTGTTACGTGAAATTGAGCTTGTTGACATTTGGCATAGTATGAACGCCCCCGTTCTTGTCGACCTCGAAGGTGAAACCGATCCCCTCCAGATCGCCATGAAGGAATTGAACCAGAAGAAGATTCCCCTGATCATTCGCCGATACCTGCCCGATGGATGGTAAGCAATATCTTGTCAGACATGATTGGTGGGCCAGGTCTAACAATGTTCGACTTTAGGTATGAGGATTGGACATGTGAGGAGCTGCTGTAGTGGTCAAACCGGTATCAACTGTTCTCTATCAACTGCTCTCCACGGAGGCTGTTTTATATCTTTTGCTTTTCTTTTTCAGCATAGCGTTTGGAGTTCTGGGATTCAAAGAACCCGTCAAAAAAAAACGAGACTTGGATGTCCTTGATGAAACATGGACACCAATGAGGCTTTGTACATGAATCTAGAACGGAAAAAAAACATATCTAAAAATAATTTGACCTGTTTATCTTCCTGCAGATAGAAGCAATCATAGCGGCCACGTGAGTATTGTTAGGATTTCAGTGACATACTCCATGTCTTTCTCTATACTTCAAGTTAGAATTTTGATATCAACATCTGGGTGCACTTGATAAGATATTTGGAGTCATTTCCATATTCACCTGCATTGCAGGCACGTCTGCCTGTGTTAGGATCGTCCTCTCGACGAAAAATAAGTTCGGCTATTCTCAATGTTACATCTGAGTGCATTGACCTCGCTGGTGACTAGGTCGGTTTCGACCGATTTGCCGTCAGTAAGGGTGTTTACTTGGTTGACAAAGGATATAGTATGTTATTTCAACAAATCTCAAGTAGCTATAACATATTCAAGTCCAGCTATATGTCATATTCGAGTGAAAGCCCGGGTATCTTTCTTATATCTCTCGAATGGCCGATCTCGGGGGGCCGCCCTATACCCCAACCCCGCTTGGTTTGGGGTTTATAATCAACTGGAAAGAGTTTTATATCATTTATTGTCACTTTCTTGACCATTGCACAGCTAAGACTACATTGTACAGGCTCTCACCTGTGACATGAAATAACATGGAGTCAACTAACTTAGATATAGAGCAAAAAGTACTCGCTGATCCTTCGTCTACTTGCGATGAAAATGTCAACTCCAATATATCACATTCTCCAGAGGAAGAGCCTGAGCCTCAGTTGATATTCGATACGGGGCTACATACATGGCTCCAAGCTTTGGGCTCATTCTTTCTTTTTTTCAATTCATGGTAAGAATATATAAGTTCTTCAGTATAAAGATCCTATTGTTAATGCGTTGAAACAGGGGAATCATCAATACATGGGGAGCATATCAAACTTATTATGAGCGAGAGTTGCTCGTCGGTACTTCATCATCGACCATTGCCTGGATTGGATCGCTGCAGTCATTCCTTCTGATGATGATTGGAGTCATTACAGGTCCACTTTTTGATGCCGGCTATTTTCGATCCCTCCTTATCACCGCTGCATTCATGCTGCCCTTTGGCTTGATGATGACCAGTCTTGCCACTAAATACTGGCACCTGATTCTTTCCCAGGGTGTTTGTGTCGGACTTGCAGCAGGCTGTCTTTTCGTGCCTTCCGTTGCCATCTTGCCGCAGTATTTCCACCGTAAGAGAGGACTAGCCAATGGCTTAGCTGCCAGTGGCAGCAGTATCGGTGGTGTAATTTACCCAATCATGTTCGATCAGTTGCAGAAGAAGGTCGGTTTTGCCTGGGCTACCCGATCTCTTGGGTTCGTCTGCTTTGGCACCATTTGTTTTTCTATTAGCATCATGCGCTCGCGCTTCCAGCCAAAGGAGAAGCGAAAGCTCTACCAGTTGTCTGCTCTAAAGGAGCCGGCCTTTACTGTCTTTGCCATTGCCATGTTCATGGGCTTCTTGGGCTTCTACAACTTCCTTTTCTATGTGCAGTCCTACGCAATTGAGACAGGCATTGTAGACTCAAACCTAGGATTCTACCTACTCTCCATGCTAAACGCTGCGTCCACCTTCGGCCGTATTGCGCCTAACTTCCTCGCCGATCACGTTGGCCCTTTGAATATGCTCACGCCCGCCGTGACCATCACTTCCATCCTAGCCTTTGTCTGGATCCGTGTTCACACAGTACCTGGCATCATCATCCTTGCCGTTGTCTACGGCTTCTTCTCGGGTGGGTTTGTGTCTCTGCCACCTGTGGTCATGGCAAGCATGACTCCGGACGTGCGCAATCTGGGCACTCGGTTGGGTATGGTCTTTGCTATCACTTCCATAGGTCTGTTGATCGGTACCCCCATCGGTGGTGCAATCCTGGCCGATACAAACCAATTTCTCGGAGTTCAGCTCTTTACCGCGTGCTGTCTCGCTACCTCTACGGTTCTTATGATCTGTGTTAGATTTCTGCGCTCGGGTCTTGAGCTCCATGCCAAGGTTTGAATATTGGCTGCCGCCCACCACCCCAGAAGATTCGGCCTTGTTCCGGCTATTTCTTCGCATACACATGTTGAACAACTATTATACCATGAGCTTCATCATTCGGTCATCGTTTTGAACTTTGCATATTGCATTACCTCCCAGCCAGTGGGAGACACAGCGCACTTCATGTTATACTTAGACGAAAATGGCAACAATCATACGTCTAATTTTGTACGAATATCCATCAAAACCCCAGCCCCGCGTAAGCCCCCCATTCCATGAGAACCCCTCGAAGAGAAGGGGAGAGATAGTAAATAATGACAGCCATGGCTGCTTCAATAACCACAGAAAGAAGGATGCTTTACATCACATCCTCCGGCCCAACAGGGAAGTTCTCACCGTTTTCTCTCACGTGCTCAAGCTTCTTATCTCGACTGCAAGGCTTGCGCATATCGAACGCATCTTCCCCAGTATCCGACATCCCTGACGGATCATCGCTATAATAATTGACCACCCGCCGGAAGACAGAGTACCTGTAAATATAAGTCAACCATCAATTCGGCATGAACGCATCTACATCGCTACACTTACCCCATTCCTTTGTACATGTCATATGCAACTTTATTTCCGGCACGGACGTAGAGATCCACAAACCAGGCGTCGTTGCTGTCGGATCCTCGCTCGAGCTGTTCGGTCAACCTGCGTGCAAATCCGAGACGGCGCCAGGCTGGGGCAACGGTCAGGACTGTGATGTGTCCATGCCATGGTGTGTAGTGCTCGGAGTGACGCATTGCTGGGTGCTGCTCTTCGAGCTTTCCCATAACTACGAAGGAACATGTCAGTCATATCCATGGGGCTTAAGGAGAATGTGCCAAGCTAGGGGTAGAATTCAACATACTGTAACCTACAATGCCGGCATCATGGTCCTTCACGGTGCTGAACAATGAGGGCCATTTGTTCAGGTAGTTCAGGTAGAAGCCGAGGTCATAATTCTCAGTGAGCGGGTCGAGGTTTGTAAGGTTAAGATCTAGCAGGTCCAACGGGGACATGCGTTCAATAGAACTCATCTTGATATTATAAACGTGAAAATACTCATGTGGGTATCTTTATATCGGGAAATATGAGTGTGATAATGTGGGGTTTGATGCTCTTGTTCTTTTTTGCCGGGCGGTGACGAGTAGTAGTCGGCGGTGAGGTTGAAGATGAATTGTTGTTATACCCCTCCTACATCCTGGTGATGCAGTCACTCCTTAATTGAGAAGTCGCTCTTTTAACGCGTTCTTTATATCAATTGACCGTAGCTTGATCTTTGTTCCATTGCTACTGCGCTATATATTGACCCGGATCGGAGATATCGGAACATTCAATTCGGCGTCCTAATCAACAACTGTTGCTCGCCTGCAACTAGACTACTACCGCTTGTTCCTTTTCTCTGGCTATATTGCCCCAGCCCAATTCTCCAGCTTTGCAGTAAAGCTTCCACCAGGAGATCCCGTGTGATACCTCCAACGAACCAATGCCCCCCCCTCCGTCTCCCCTGAAACTCCCACACCGCTATACATCAGCGGCCACAGACGACTCACCTATCTCCCCCAGGACTGGGAATACTTTTGCAATTGAAAGCCCCCGATCACCGCGGACACCCCGATTATCTGCACCTCCATCTCCTGCCGCGTCCCGCCATAACTCCAACGCTATGAGTGGGTCTCATAGAGGGTCCGGGGATTTCTCTGGCGCCGCTGATGCAGGCGGCGGAGGACTAGGAAACCTGGCCGATGAGCTAGCCGATGCATGGGGAGAAGAGGAAGATGGGTATGGATATGCGTCAGGCCAGGAAGCTAGCCGTGCGGGGTCACAGCACATGGGTCACAGTGATGGAGAAGATATGTATATGCAATCAGTTCACAGCGTGCGCTCCCGGTCACCATCCATCTCACCAGAAAGAGATTCACTCCATCCATCAAAGAACAAATACCGTGCCAATCATTTGCGGCAGCACCGCCGGCAGGAGTCGCAATATGATGGCTCGGATTATGGGCCTGACTCGGATCTGGAGGCGGCGGATATATCCCCCGCCTTGGAGAGCCAAATGGCTGAGATTGAGAGTCTCGTTCGGCGGGGTATAGAGAATAATGGAAGTGAAAATGACCATGTCATTCAGCGCACGGTCGAGTCCTTGAAAGATCTTGGTGGGCAGAGTGGCATTGAGAACAGTGCCATGAGGTAAGTTCACGAAGTACAACGCAATTCCACCGATCTCGATAGCTAATCTTCAGTCGCAGACTTATCACCGCTCATTCCTCAATCACATCACATCTCACCCACCAAACTCGCGCCCTCCAATCCCTCGTCCACCCACTCCTCTTCTCTCCATTCCCCCTCCTTTCCGAAGACGCCATCGACTCTCTCATGCCCCTTATCGACGAGGGCTTATTGCCAAATCTTCCATACCCCTTCCCTGAACAACACCAAGACTCCCAATCAACAACCCCCCAGTCCTCCGCACACAACCCCCTAGCCTCTCTCCAAGCCCTCATCTCGCAAACAGCAGATATCACACATACACTTCGCGGCTTGAGCGATACCCTCTACGAATCGAGACAATTGACTGCAACGGCTTCCCGCCGATTACGCTCTGCGCGAGAACTTGTCGCTGACATCCGGCGGGAAGAAGAGAGCCGCGAAGAGGGTTCGCGGTGGATCGAGCGCGGCGAGTGGGACCGCCGGCTCAAAGACCGAGAGGCTGGCAAGGTCTGCGGTGATGTAGTCAGTGGCTTTGAAGCTGTCTGTGGGGAATGGCGGGAGAAGCTATTTGGGGCTAATGCCGAAGTGGCTGCTGCATAAGTTCGATGTTGATGTTCATGACTTGATCACTTTTTGCGATTCTGTTTCTGTTTCCTCGGGTCAGGACTCGGAATTTAGACTGTTGTCTTTTATTTTCTTATTCTCTTGTCAGATATCCATATTGATGTTTACTATATCATCATTCGTAAAGTTGTTCATATTGAGAGAGCTTCCCAGGTTATACACTTGTAAGCTTGAAATCGTGATACCATCCATTCCAATTCGCTTCATAGACTCATGCTTTCTATTCTATTATCGACCTCGTAATTCATTAAAAAAGGTGCCCGCTTCTAGATGCATGCCTGTATGCGACCTGTACCTGTGCGGGGCCAATGCTGTCGTCGAGGGTTAGCATCGGCTTAACTCCGCCATTGTCCGTAGATAGGAAGAAAGAGAGCTGTCCAAAACATCTACAAGACCACCAAATTATAGCAAAAACTAGGAAAAGATTATATCATATTCCGAGCGAGCTGAAAGACAGAACTGGGGCCCCCATTAACAAGTTACGGGGTGAACATGGGTGAATGATACACGAAATATGCAGAAGGGTCATGATAATTGCGCCAAAAAGATAAGAGCTTGGATACACTTTTTAACTGGAAAGTCGTAGCTCGGTCGTTTACTGCTGCTGCTTCCATCTTGGGACCCATTTGCCACCAGCGGCGGGCTTGGATTCCGAAGCGGGAGCAGGAGACTGAGAAGAAGATTCGCGGGGTTGACGGGGCGCCCAACGCTCGGTGGGGGCCTCACGAGGCAGAGTGTCGCGGGATTCACGAGGCTCGCGGGGAGCAGGTGGAGGGGGTGCAGATCCAGCGCTGGGGACGGCACCGGTGCGCAGGTGAGGGGGAACGTATCCACCCTTGCGGAGAGGGGCGGGCTCTTCGCGGACGGGAGCGCGGACGGGGACACGGACGGGCTCACGAGCGGGCTCGGATGGGACACCACCGGCTTCCTTGGCGGCTTGACGTTCTCTCCAGGTGGACGGGACTCCAGTACGTGGGGCGACATTGAGACGGGGTGCAGTTCGTTCGAGTGGCTCTTCGAACCCACCCTTGCGGGCTGCGCGGCGGGCTTCGGCTTCGGCCTCCCGCTGTTGCTGCTTCATAGCCACCTCATCCATTTTACTATATGTCAAGTTAGTACTAAGGTTTGAAGTGATATCAAAGTAGGGGAATACTAACGCTCGCTCTTCCTCACGCTTGGCCTTCTCCTCAGCCATGACACGACGGCGCTCCTCCTCGCGAGCGACGCGCTCCTGCTCCTCACGCTCGGCACGCTCCTGCTCCTCTCGTTGACGAGCCTCCTCTTCCTCGCGCTCCTGCTTCTCGCGGCGGCGGCGTTCCTGAACTTCCTTGACGCGCTGCTTCTTCTTGGCCTCGAACTCACGCTCGGCGGCCTTGCGACGCTTTTCGAATTCCTCGTGGCGCTTCTCGGAAACCTCTCGGCGGAAGTTGCTGAACTGGGGAACCAGACGACCGAGACGGTGCTTGAGGAGAACGGCCTCGGTATGCTTCTCCTTAGACTCACGCAGTTCATCAGCGACCTGCTTCTCGTAAATCTCCCGGTCGAGTTTCTTCTGGGCATCGTAATCGGCGGAAATATACTTGAGTTCCTCGCGACGGAAGGCACGCTCCAAGTGGTCGATACGCTTAGCAGTGGTACGGATACGGTCGTTTAGCTCGTTCTTCTCTTTTTCAAGCTGAGCCAGCTTCATGGCACGCAGGCGGTTGGCATCAAGCTCGTCAAGGTCGATCTCGCTGACGTCAATACCCTTAACACCAGTCTTGAGCTCCTCGAGCTGCTTCTTGAGCTCCTCCTGGCGAATGCGATCCTGCTCATCCTTCATACGCTTGAGCTCACGATCACGCTGCTCATCGGCCAGACGCTGCTTCTCGGCATCCTGGAGTTGCTGGGCACGGACACGCTTGCGAGTCTCCTCCTCGCGCTGTTTCCGCTGCAGAGCATCGGTAGCGGCTTCCTTCTTCTTGTCTATAAGGACACGACGGGCAAGGGTCTCCTCGTGCTCCTGGGTGACACCAGCAATGGCGCGGGCCTGAGCAGTCTGCTTGGCTTGGAGACGAGCCTGGTTGTAGGAGGGATCGACGTACATACAGGTGATGTGGAGGGTCTTGGCGAGACGGGCAACCTGGAAACGGGCAATCTCGGCAGGGGTGTGCTGTAGACGCTGAACAGAGCCAAACTCACTCTCAGCAGAGCCAGCGCTGCTGCCGGCGTGGGTAGCCTTGGAGGAGGAGAAGACATCGGAGTCGAACGTCAGGACGCCGGAAATGTGATCAACTCGAATAGCGAGGTCACCCTTCTTGCAACCGTTCATGATGAACTTCTCAATCATGGCGGGGGTGATCTGGAAGGGAGCGGGGAACTGGGCAAGCTCGTAGACGAACTTGAGCTCAACGGACTCGTAAACCTGGGACAGCTGTTGGAACAGACGGGTGAGAATGACCTGCTGCAGAGGCACAACGTACTTCTCCATCTCGGGGTCGGCACCGATCTGCTTCAGGATGGGGGTAATCTTCTTGCAGATAGACAGAGGGTGGAAGTCAACCTCTAGGATGTTGTACAACTCGCGGATCTCAGGGCGCACACGGCGGAGCAGACCCTTGTTCAGAGCATCGCGGAAGAGCACAGTACGAGTGGGCGAGGTGGCCATGCCGAGAAGGTTAGTGAGACGGGTGTTCTTGTTCTTGCGAGCCTCATCCACATCGACCAGGGCGCCACGGGAGCGGGAAGTGCTGATAACGGGGATGGACAGGGCGGAAAGCAGGACAAATGACGCGGCCTTGGTCATCTCGAGCTCGGTCACCGACGGGTTTTCCTTCTTGGAACTCTGGCCGCTGGCCAGGGCCACTGAAGAAAGACGGAGGAGGTTGTAGTAGCGGTTGTAAGCGGCGGCGTGGAAGAGGTAGTTCTCGCTAACAAGGAAAATGCGAGCGAGCTTCTCGTAGTAGTTGGCCATCATAATGTTCTTGGCGGGGCGCTTGCTGAGGTTCAACAGAGTGTGGATATCCTCAATGCTGCGGAAAGCCTCCTGCCACAGCTCCAACTCAACGGCGACGTTCAACTGCTGGAAGCGGGTGTCAAGGTGACGCTGCAGAGTGTCGGCGTCGCTCAGGTTGATGGCGTGCATCTGCGAAGAGTACTTGGCGGCATTCTGCACATGGTTGCGCAGGAGCTCACACAGGCGGCGGAACTCGGTCTTACGGGCGTACTTCTGGCAGAACTTGAAGGCCTGCAGGGCAGTCGACTGGTACATTATCTCGAGACGGGCATTGTTCTTCAGGATCTCGAGGACGGTGCGGTAGGTCTCCCACAGGAACTTGAGCCAAGGGGTAACGACGGCGCGGTCGGTACGGTCGCGAGACTGCTCACCGGAGACAGTTGCAAGGAGGATAGTCTCGGGGGTCTCGATGGCCTCCAAATCCTCAACGTTGGAGGAAGGAGCGGCGGACTCGAGGGTCGACTGGATCTCGTCGGCCTTGGCCTGTGCCTCGGTGACCTTCTGCTCGGCGAGTTCGATGAACTTCTTGAGAACAACCTGCACATGGAAGAAATCCTAGGTTAGTGACAAGACACTTTTTTTCATCTTTTTTTTTTTTTAGAGCGATCATCAACACGAACCTCAATAGTGCCGACATTGGTATTCTGAGCGATGTTCTTATATTGGTAAAGACCATCCTTGGCGGCCTTGCCCTTGCGAAGGTCAACAGACAGCTCAACGAACAGGAGCATCACCGGCTCGAGGGAGGCGATGGGGCTGCTACGGGTGCGCTTGGAGGTGACATGTTCGTGGAGGACAGTCAAGGCGGCGGGAGCCTGGCCGACGGCGATGAGTTCCTGAGCCCTCTGTGCACGATATAGTCATTAGCAACCGATGCATCTTATAAACCACGACGACAGCGACGGCGACGCTTACCTTGAGGACATTCTCAGGCTTAATATGCGGAGGAGGCGGCATGATGGGTGGATGCCCCTTGGGAAAGGATCAAAGGTGACTGATAAGAAATTAAAAAATGGACAAAAAAAGTTGGGTGAGGCCAGCGACACACACGGGCAGGGAATAATGCGATTAGACTGCCACGCGAATACCCGATAACGAGGGGAAGATTCACAATGTGCGTGTTGAGGCCAGAGCAAAAATTGGATCCCGCCAATGTTCCCACTTCGCGTTAAGCGATGACGATCACGTGTTGTGGCCTGAGGCAGATATCGAATTTGGGTCGGTACATAGTCAGACACCTGTCATATTTGACTACCGTGCATATTGTGATTATGTTTTCTTATTGGTTGACTGCAATATCCCAAGCCATGTAACTAAAGATTACAATTCCAACTATCTCATTCCGAGCCCGACAAATATACACAATCTAGAGTTCGAACAGGAAGTACCCGGTACAAGTTATGTACTGTCTCCACCTATCAAACATTAGTAGTCGTCCGACTCATGCCAAGTACCGGGTACCTCCCCTCCCAATAATATCCCCCGTGTAAGGAAAAAGGGAAACCCACGGACCTGCCCATCTCCTCAGGAAAATCCCCTCTGAACACATTCATTTGTCCATTCTCTCTCTCTTACTCGAACCCGACTCCTTCACCTTCTTTTGTTCCTCCCCTTCCTCTTTGTCCGGCGTCTTGGTCCCCTGATTACCCGGCCCCCCCTAACCTAATTCTTACGCCCTTGGAACACCTGCCGATCCAAAAACCCCTCTCCCCCCTTTCTCCCATTCGCGCTTCTTCCACAGCTCAACACGTCACGATGGCTCCCTATGAACTTCGATCCGGGGGTGATGTCAAGAACAAGAAGCAGAGTGTCGCCGACTTGAAATATCGTCGGTTGACCGAGCTCAATGGTCGTCTAAAGGAGGATCTGGACCGTCCACGGGTCAAGGTCTCCGAGGCAGCTCTTTCGTCCGTTTGATCCTTTCTATGTTGAGAAAGCAAACAACTAACACCTTCAAAAGTCTCATCAGCTACTGCAACAACACTCGCGACTTTATGGTTCCATCCGTATGGGGACAGGTATGCGACCGGCCTTTTTCCACATCGCGCGCGCCCATCCAAACTAACCACTTCATTTCCTAGGTCGACAAGCGCGAGGATCCCTATGCTCCTCAGCAACAGGGGGGTTGCTGCACCGTCATGTAATGCACTCACGACGGGAGTTTTTCGCCATGATATTCGATTTCGATTTCGCTCTCCTTTTTTCTTCTTCTCTTCTACTTAATCCCGGTCCCATTCACGACCACCCCTTGGACCCGGACAAAGCATTGCGATTGCTCGCGCGGACAAAGATGTCGGCCTGAAAGAATCGTCTGCTGGTCCTGCACGAAACCTTCCACGCCTCCGGGGATCAAGTCCCGTTGTGTTTTGTCGCCCTTTTCGCCTCCGGTCCCCTTTGTTCTCAAACTCTGCAGACAGTGCACTTGACGATGCATTTGTTGCGCCTTTTTTTCTTCTTTGAATTTCACCATTACCCCTTCTTGCTTTTTTTGTTTGGAATCGGCATTATCTTCTCTTTTTCTTTTCTTTTCCTTTTTTCCCTTTCATTTTCTCCTATGTATCCTTTTCTTACGGTTTCTCTTCAAATCTTCAAAAAGCCTCTATGTTCCATTCAGGGCGTGAGAGTTGCCATTCATGTATCATAGATTCGCATGACCAATACCATACCGATCTAATCGAAATTGCGCTATTTTCATGTAATTCGGTCCCAAATTCCGGCAATCGCGGCTGGGATGACCCGTCGGGGTTCAGCCCCTCGGTTGTTTCGGCCTTGTCTAGCTTAAATTGGCAATTGGGAAGTCATGCAAAGTAATTTGGTATACAACGTACGAATCAGGCATTATTCCAATCTAGTACATGTAACATGCAATTGTAAGACGGGATTTGATATTCACAAGTCAGCCCATCCCCGCTGACATCATCCAAATTCCCATCCATCCCGAGACATCGACTTGACCATACCACAATCACCCAAACGCCCCCAATACCTCCTCCAGCATCAAACCAACAGTCCATGATGGCCGAATCTGCATTGACCCCGTTAGACTCAACCCCCAATAATAGCGATACAATCGCACCCGCCAACGTCCATCTCCCCCGCATCTCAATCCAGTTCTGCACACAGTGCCGGTGGATGCTCCGCGCCGCATACGTACGTTGTTATCTTTTCTTTTTGACCTATCATGTTAGAGATAGTTTGGTTATGTCCTTTCTGCGGCGGGCGTGAAGTGTGATTGGTTACTTTTGTATTGCATACCATATATATCAGACTCGATATCGCCGTCACTATCACTGCCAACATAACCCTGACCATGACCGTGAACATAATATACAGACCTTACCAAAACCAGCAGAACCAATACTAACATAAGAAACAAACAGTTCGCCCAAGAACTTCTCTCAACATTCAGCACAGACCTCGGCGAAGTCGCCCTCGTTCCGAAAACCGGCGGCGTGTTCACTGTGACGATATGGCATGGTACCATGAATGATGGGGAGATCACGACGCAGGAGAGCATTTTGTGGGATCGGAAGCGGGATGGGGGTTTTCCTGGTATGTTTTCTTCCTTTTGTTTTATCATTTATTACTGCATATTCTTCTATGCATTCTTATATACTGCATGGAAGACTTGTCCTGACCTTTCCTTCCTCCCCTCAGAAGTCAAAGCGCTCAAGTCACTTGTGCGGAATGTTATTGCTCCTGATAGAGACTTGGGACACACGGACCGGGCGTTAAAGAAGCAGCAGGGTGAGCAGAAGGAAGTGAAAGAGGAGAAAAAGAGTAAGGATAAGGCGGGTTGTGAGGATTGTCAGTAGGGGGTATTAGGTATTGTTTTGACTTGCTATCTTCATGGAGTTCATTTTTAGATCATGTTGGCATAAATGCTGGATCACATATACTACTTGGAACATAACTACATATCTTACAATCATTACAAGCCACTATACACATCACATTCATTATCGCGCAGAGCGGAAGAGTCTAACAAGAGTCAATGTCAAAAAAAAAAAAAAAAAAAAGAAGAAAAGAACGAAACACAAGAGGATCAAGCACAGGGGAGAAGGAGAAAAGACTATCCAAGATCGCGAAGGATCCCGAATATCGAGTCAAAGAAACCCCAGTAGGAGATCAAACGCCGGCCTATCACCGAACTCTAGGATAAGAAATAACCGCCCCGAAATATCACACAATGGTGGAGTAGAATGAAAAAAAAGAGGGATGAAGGAAGGTGTAAGATAAGGATGAAAGAAAACAGACATTCGTGGTCATCACACAGAAGTAGGTGGGCGAGCCCGATGCAAATAATCAGATGCTAGATGTAGCGGGACACCAATCCCAGTATCCATTGAGAGGAATATATGATAAAAGCGTGACTCTCAGCCCCAGAGGGAGGAGAGTAGAGTAAAACATGCAACTTATCTTGTCTTGATGCTGTAATTGCTCAGACAAGCTTTGCATTTGCTTTCGTGTCCGAGACAAACTCGGACGTCCAGCAGAAGGTAAGAAGGTATCGTGATCGACTTCGTAGAGTCGTGACCAGGAGAGCCAATGCGGCGGGAAAAGAAAACCCATTGACCGGGTTCTTCGACTGGTCGAGTCGTGAATTCATGGAACACCAGTGTGGTCTCAAGCCTCATTGGAGAATGAAATGTTCATAAGACCATGGCAGCATTATACACAGCTAGAGGTGGTTCAAGCCTAAAAGCACCAACCAGGACAGCAAGATTCATGTCTCACCGGGGACCTCGTGCGAATGGTTACGACGCTTCCAAAAAGCAAGTCGAAGCCGACTCCTCCGCTTAGGAAGTCTATGATGACCATGAGAGTCATCCGCTGGAGGAGCTTCATTTTTGATGCTTTCGCCAGTAGTCGTTGAATGAGTCGTGCTGCGGGTCCCAGGGGCTTCCAGCCTGGAGAAGTCTTTGCTGGTGCCATCTTCGGATCGAGCTTGACTACGAGCGATAGAGTTGCGACCGGGGCTGAAACCGCCTGCTGTTAAACCTGAAGGATACACGTCCGCTGTGCTGGGACGTGTGCTATTGTCCTCAGGTCCTCCAATATCACTTGGCGCGGCACTTTCCCCGGAGCCTCGCTTTTCGTCGCCGCTATCGACGGCTAAAAAGCTCGAGGCATTAGTTGCGGGAGATATAGGTGTCATGGTGTTGCTGTAAGTGCTTTGCGTCCGTGTACAACTATTGCGATTAGAGCCCGTACGGGCAGAGGAGCTGTGCTGCGCATGGTGGCGTTCGGAGCCGCGTTGAGAACCATGTGAAAGACCTTGGCGGGAGCTGCTTGGTCTCTCGGCAGCCCCGAAAGTATGGCCACGCCCCACTGGTGAATTCCCATTACCGAAGGCCGAGTTGGCATACAAGACGGCGGCTAAAATAGCAGGATCGTCGGTAACGGGGCTTGCTTCTGTGAGAGGGCTATGAAGCTGTGTCGAGATAGACCCACGGGCAGACTCCGGGGCTCCTGGGATGGAGAAACAAGAAAGGTCCGGGATGGCATTAGAAGATTTCCGTGATGAAAATTCAGCCACCGGCGCTAGGGCACTTCCTGTAATCTCGATCTGAGGACCTGAAGTATCTGGCGACACAACTGGTTCAATGGTGTTTTCGTTGTATCCATCAGAGTCTGGATTATCCGCTGCGCCATCTCCTGAATTGAAGAGTTGGTCAGAAGCTGCAGGGCTACGGGAGCGAGGCGAAACAGTGACCTCGGCCCGTTTCTCAATTGGAAGACCTTGCTTCTTCAGCTCTTCGTTAGCAAGTTCTTGCCACCGTGCCTGATTGCGAAGGATATGGTCTGTAGCGAACTGCAACTGGGGCAGAAGGTCGGAAATGCCTTCAAAGAGTGGCAGGGCGAATATCGACATGAATCCAATTTGACCAGTAGCCAGTTTGTAGATGTTCCCTAATTCGGGCGGCCCGCCAAACAGTGCGGTTTCCATTCCAACCTCCCTTTCCATCTCGCCCTGGTTGGCAAATTCCTCTTGCAGGATTTGCGTCCACTTCATTGCAACTTCCCACGGTCGAGCCACGTTACTGATGTCGGCACATTTGATCAATAATCCACAAATGAGAGTCTTGTACATGTCGACATCTTGAGGCTTCCAGCCATCAACAGATTGGTTGTTTTCGTAGAACTTTTCTTGGAATGAGCCCATTCGCTGCATGAACTTCTGGTGCACACCCATGTCTGTGGCCAGGATAGAACTTATGAGGAGCTTTCGCAGCTGATTGTCCTTGAATGCCGCAGGCCAGTGCCGACGCAAAATCTGGGAAAAGGCGGCGCAATGGAACGCTTCCAAGACGGAATTGTCATTGTAGAGTTGAGCAAGAGGTGCGTTGAGTTTGACGAGGAAAAAATTGTTGACGCCTGGGTGGCCAACGTCATGACCAATGGCCGAGATAAGGAGGGTAAGGGCGTCGAATGGCGTGAGAAGGGAGGTGATGGGAGTTTCGGGGACAGGAGATTGACCAATTGATTGATATGGAGGCAAGGCACCAATGCGGAGCAGGAAGCAAAAGACGGATTGCAGTACATCAATCGCATGGCGGAAATTGTGGTAAAGCACGAAGGAGTTATAGGCGGCGCGGCAGCTGAGAAGGAAAGTTTGCAATTCATCGGGGGTCAACCGCCAGGGGTCCAGTCCTGGCATAGTGAAAGCATGTTGTATCATCTCACAAGCGCCAAAGACCAGTTCGTCCTCAGTGAACTCGTGAGCGCAGAAATTCCAACTGCCTACCTCTTTTCTGACAAAAGGGATACGCGCGGGATCAACGTTGAGATCCAGCTCTTGGAATTCATCATGTATGACTTCTTCTGGGTTGCAAATTCCTTTCATGAGCTTTGAAACCATGGCTTCTCTTAGATAAGAATATGGCTGCTCATCATGCACGCCGACCCAAGAAAGCTTTCGTTGCTTTCTCCGTGCGAGGAACCGGGACATCTCTCTCTGAGCCGCTTTACGGGTGCGGTAGGCATGAACCACAAGCCCTTGGATCCGCGACCGATCTAGCGGGGTGGTCAAGACATCCATAGCACCGGCATCAAGACAGCGGGCAATTTGCTTGTGCTCCACCGTGAGAGGTCCTTGAGAATCCGGTTGACTGGTAGGGCCGACAGACGCAAGGTTAGGGGCATCGGGAGTAGGAAGGCGCAAAATAGCAATGGGGATGACCAAATTTGGCCCTTCTTGGGCTTGAATATCGTTCGAGACACCGGACAGAAGGGACAGCCCCCGTGCTTCGTCGGACTGCGTTGAAAACGTGAAAGTGCGGTGGATGGAGCCCGGCGAAGGAGGAGCATTGTCGGCCCATGAAGCGCGACTGGCTTTTCGACGAGCCAAGTTCGACTCTTCGCCGCTGAAGTCAACCTCGAAGAATGCGAAAATCGGGTTGCATTCGCTACCCGCCCGGTCGCTGAGCTCGGCCAGTTTCGTTGCAAAGGAGGAACCGTTGTGGCAGAGATAGACTGCAAAACCCGGGAGTAATTAGCAAATCATCGAACGCAATGCAAGTCTGTAGAACCTACCTTGTTTGCACACCAACAATAGCTGCTCCACATCGGCTTGCAGGGCCTCCGGTTCTTCGGGTGTCGCGAAGGAACCCGCGCACGAGATGGTTGAAGTATCGATGGAATTCCTGCGCACCCATCTCTCCGACCGCACTCGGTCGTCAATGTACAGGCCCGCGCAATCCACGCGGTCCACCATGGTGTTAGAAGGTTAAGAACGACCCCCGATCAGGGCTTGCTGGAATCAGAAGACCGACAAGAACTCAATCGGAGTGAAGAAAAAGGAAAGGAGTCGGTCGGAGCGGTCCTGGCTCGCATATGGCTCAGATGACGAAGACCAGGGGAATGGTAGAAGGTACGAGTGACGAGCACGGTTATGAGAGGTGAAAAGGGAAAAGAAAAAAACGAGCGGCTGGAAGGAGGGTGATGGGAGGTCGGGAAAGATCCGATTGAATCGGCACAAAGAAAGTCGGGGAAGGAATGGCAGGAGTCGGCAAGCACGCTCTCAGGTCACCGAATCGAACAATGGAGTTGTCTCCTGCAGCGAGGCAGTCCGAGTCGCGTTATGGACTGGAGGATCCGAGACAACCCCCAGAGCCTAGACTTGTCCTAGACTTGTCGCACTAGACAGATCGAGCGCGCAACCCACTTTTTCTACCCCGGAGTCGGATTCGGACGAGCGATGGGATGAGAGCGACACGTGAGTTTGTCGAGGACGAAGGGGGTTCAATTGGTGAAAGAACACAAAAGGGAGAGGCGGGAAAGGACGTCAATTCGACATGGTGTGGTGTATGCGTGTAGCGTGTAGCGGTGAGATAAACAAAGAAAAGATGAAAAGGGAAGTGAAATAAAGAAGTTGGTAAAAAGAGCAAAAACACCCAAAGCTGAGGACAAGTGGAGGGGCGAACACGGGGAAGGGGCTTCTTTCCTCCTTCCAGAAGGCCTTGGGGCGGGACGGGATGATCCTCAAGTAATCTTGGTCTTGGGTACACTAGCAGGTATATTTGAATTTTGGTGAGGATCTTGAGGGACGTTGACTTGTGGGCTATTTACTCGATTATCAGCAGAATACTCATCTCTCAACTATGTCTTCGTCTCTTCCTCTATACCATTGCTTCTTGGGCAGAGCCTCCGATCGTAACCAGTGGGCCCAATGACGCCTCTCTTCTTTTTTTCCTTCTTTCTAGAAGGTCTGTGGGTTAGTAAGCACAGATTCTGTAACACAATACAGGGCGGTCGGGTAGCTATGTATGCAGTCGACATAGTTATCTCGAACTTCTGTTATCTCACTGCATATATTACCTTACATATATGTAGGTAATTGTAGTAATTTTGTATTCATTGATTTAGCTACAATATATCAAGTATTGTATACTACATTAGAATACCCTATTGTACATACTAGATATTAATACACTGTCATACCCTGCAGAATCGAAAAAAAAAGAAGAAAGCAGAAGAAAAAGAAAAAGAAAAGAAAAAAAGTGGATAAGATGGGCCCATTCGGGGCCAAATCGGACGGAATATTAGATAATCCGAGGTGATCTCATCGATTGTTCTCCACTTTCAGAAATGGATCACCTGCAGGAGGTACAATTGCATGCATTCATCTTTAACTTGACACAGGCTAGGGCATTGATTATCTATATTAAGGAGAATATTGAATGTATGCAAATATATACATGCCATACATAACATGGACAGTCCTAGACTAATATGCCCAGGTGGCTATGTGGCCTTAGCTAATCTCCATGTCATCCACGGTTCAGTTGCTGATAGCTTCCATGTGATTGGAAGGGGACCCTGGCCAATCAACGACACGAGAGATAGCTGCATGCATGCCCAGGTACTTTTAGAACAGCTACATGTTCTAGTTACATATGTATGTATGTAGTTTATGTTACAATACTTGGCAAAATATACAGATATGTACTACTGCGTATACGGAATATACTCCGTATGTGTTCTTTTTCTTTTTTTTGTAAATGGCAAGGGTGGGGTCTACTTTGTCGATCTCTTGGCTATGCCTAGTATTAGCTTATCTACATATTGTACTCCGTACATAATATTTCCACATCTTATATATTCAATGTTATGCAATCTACTCAAAAACACAAATAATTTTCCCCTTGGTAGTGTTACTCTCAAGTAACTTATGCGCCTCCTCAATACCCTCAAATGGAAACACCTTCTCCACAAATACCTTAAACGTCCCATCACAGAACCGCGGCAACGCGTGCTCAACAAGCGTATCCCGCAATTTACGCTGGTACTCGAGATCCCGACTGCGCAGTGTGCTCCCCTCCACCCGCACACGCTTATACAACAACGGCGCAATATTCACCCCGGCAGGCAACTTGCCGCCGCCCATAAGGCCCAGCAAGACAATACGACTGTCGCGCGCCGCCACGTCCAAATTACCCTGGAAATACGTCGCGCCGATGAAATCGACGGTGAGATTGACGCCCGCGCCAGACGTCGCGGACTGGATTTCCGCCGCCCAATCTTGGGTTTTGTAGTTGAAGGCTTTTGTTACACCGAGTTCTTTTTCTAGGAAGTCGATTTTCTCTTGCGAGCCCGCCGTTGCGAAGATGGCTTTTGCACCGGCGTCTTTCGCGAGCTGGATACCGGAGATCGACACGGAAGACGCGCCTGCGTGCCAGAGGACGCTTTGGCCTGCTTGGAATTCGCCGATCAGGAAGAGAGCTTGCGAGGCTGTCATCCAGGTCTATGGGTGGTGGTTAGCGAGTTTCTTTTTTTTAGATGATTGAATTGCGGGTATACGCACTTCCGGGACTCCTGCTGCTTCTTCCCATGATAGCTCTTTGGGCTTGTGCACTAGCATGTGAGCGGAGACGGAGATGTACTCTGCGTAGGCGCCGCCGTATGCAAGCCCGAATACTTCATCTCCGATTTTGAAGTCTTCGTGTCCGTCTGGCCCGAAGCTCTCGATCACGCCGGAGAACTCCACGCCCATGGTTGGGGGTGCTTGGGGTGGGACGGGGTATAGGCCCTCGCGCTGAAGCAGATCCATGCGGTTCAGTCCGAAGGCCCGAATCTTGATGATGGCTTCGCCTTCTGCGGCGGTGGGCTTGGCGATCTGGTCGACAAAGAGGCTTGTTGCGGGGCCTTTGCCGCCCTTGATGCCTAGGGTTTGTTAGTCTTGGGGTTGACATTGTATAGAGTATTCGAGGTGTGGGTATAGAGGAAAGAGAGTGAATAGTAATGAAGTGAAGCAGATGGGTTGATGTATGATCCTCCATTCCAAAAGTGTAGATGATATCAGGTGGGGAAATGTTCTTCAACCCCGCGCTCACTTACCGATGGCTCGCATGGTGTCGCTCATTTGGAGTGATGCTTAAAAGTGTTCAATGGATGTTTTCTATGCAAATATCTGCAGAAGATCTATTATATATCCCCTGAAGCCAACCTTGGAACAGCTATGACGAACTGACCGCATTTGATCGGCATTTGTCAGCATCGCCAGCTTCCGAGGTTGGTTTATAATATGCCGGACACCTAAGTGGATAATGTACGATTGTTGAAGAATCAGAAAATGTAGATCATAGCAATATTGAACAATTCATCTAGCTGGAAAAAATGGGTAATGATAATATCAATCATAAAGTGGCCAGTCCTACTCCATGCAATCCGTGATTTTCGACGACATCAAGCCCTCCAACTGCTCCTTAACAGACTCCACGGACTTTTCCCAGGTGCCGTAATTCAAGACGCCGAAAAACAACAAGCACATAAGAAAAGAAGAAACCATAAAGTGTGAAAGATGGTGGCCGATAGGTGGATCTACCGGCTAGAAAGGCTCGGGGTCTCCGTAGCTGGAAAGGAAAGAAAAACAAAGAGAAAACACAGAAAGGAGAATCCAACCGCGGACACACTTTTGTTCATGTGATGCCGTGGCATGCATATGCAGTAGCGGTAAAAGCAAATAGGAAAGGTCACTATCATACAACTCGATTATGAGCACTCGTGTGGGGGGATATCGTTATGAGAGTAGGTTCTTCAGCGATGGGCTTGCGCTCGCTCCGGTCCCGGGCGCTGTGCCGTTGACCCCAGAGTGCCGACTGCTTGGTGGTCCGCCCATCAGGGAAGGTGGTGTATCTTCCGGTCGAGTGGGAGGAGTGGCGGTGGGCCCCCGCGGGTCAATGCGTGCCTGCGTCACCGGTGGTGAGTGAGAGGGGGCTCCTACCACACGCTCAACAGAGTACATGCGAGGAGGGGGACCGCCGTTGAGAGCGCTCAGCGAGGTCTGGGGTGATCGGTTGATCGTCGTCGCTTGCACGATTGGAGGGGATGCGGACGCTGCATATGATCGCGGCGGTGGCTGCGAAAGATGCGGCGAGCGAGCCGGCACAGGGCCATACGGGCTCTGGTGGGTGGAATACGGTGGCGGAGGTCCCGAAGGCCCAGCGCCGGTATAGTGTTGAGGTACTGGCCCTGCAGGATGGGGTGGCGGGTAGTTATTCATGTGATGGGGAGGTGGCTGTGCCGGGGGATAAGGAGACGGCGACATGCCGTTGCGAATACCGATATCGGGCGTGTGACGCTGCTCGTATGGTCCAGTGTATCCTGGTCCGGGAAGTCCGTTGGATGGGTGAGCAGGAGGCATCGGCCGCCCAAGCACACTGTTAGGGGGGGATGCGGGTGCGGGTGTGGATGTGGGTGTGGCAAAAATGTATGGCCTGGATGACCTGGATGACCTGGATGGCCGGGCATTCGTGAAGTGGGTATCATGGGACGTTGAGCAGAGTAAGGCGAAGGCCGTTGGTCGGGCGTGGGCTCTGGTACAGGAGGAGGGGGAGGAGGCGCCGGATTCTTCAAATGGCATTTATGACATTCGTATGCCATTTCGCAAGGCTCTCCATTTTGTTGGGGGAAGGGACCTTGGGGCGGATGATGAGGGTGTCCAGAGCCATTGGCCATGGGAGGTCGTCGCCCAATGGCCCACCACCTAGGACTAAAGCCGGTGGCACAACGAACGCATTTGCGGTGAGTCTCCACGCCAGGAGCAACCGGTCGCGGTGCAACATGGTTGTCGGTATCAATATCCATGGAATCTCCAGCCACTTCCTCCACCGGCTGAACTTTGTGGGTATCCCTGGAAGCCGGCGTAGTACTCGTTGAAGCCCGGCGGTTGACATTGGTGGAAGGGTGTGGCGGAGCTCCGACGGATTGATGCAT